GGCTGAATTAGGAGGGAAGGTTTTGGGGAAGCAGAAAAGGAGGCACTAGAGAGTGAGCCCACCCCACACAGCAGTAGTTCCTGTCCCACCATGGCTGGCTCTCCACTCTGAACACTACAAACTTGTGCGACACCCTAAAAGGTTGAGTGACGTGAGTGCAATTTAATTCATGAATCCATATCCAGATGCTGCCCCTCGAGAGTATCTGTATTATTGAAAACTCTTTCCTTAGGGACAGGATGCAATGTCAATGTACCAGACTGACCTCACTGTAAATACAGTATATATAAATGCCAAAGAAGGATGGTATAATGGTTAAGACACAACTTTGGGACTCAGGAGACCCAGCTTCAATTGCCTACTCCAGTGTTTCTCAACCAGTGGTACGCATACCCTTAGGGGTATGCAAGAGAAGTTGGGGGGGGGGGGGGGGGGGGGGGGGGAGGCGCGGGGGGCAGGTCGGGCTAGGGATGCAGGTTGGACTGGGAAGCGGGGGAATGGGGGTGTACGTTGGACTAGGGGTGCTGAGGAGGAAGGGGGAAGGAGGAGAGAGGGTATGTCAACACAAGTGAAATTTGGCAAAAAATGTCTGGAATTTTGCCCTGCAACAGGGATCGGGGGCCAGTGGCACGTGCCTGTCAAATTGAATGTTCAGAGCCGCACGCCCAGATATTAACAGCTGCTCTGTGCACACACCCCAGTGCCTGGCAGGAAAAGTGTGTGGCTGCAGCAGCGGCTCCGGTGAGACCCAGAGCAGTTCCAAGTTTGGGCAGGGAGGGGAAAAAAAACCCTTCCACCGTCTCTCCTAGTTTGTTTCGTCTCTGGCAGCATCCCTGGGGTGCTCCAGGGGGGAGGGCAGCTGAACCTGAAGATGCGCATTACCCCCACCCCCACCAGCAGCTCAGTACAACGCATCCCCATTGCCCCTTTCCCGTGGGGCTGTGGAGAGCAGCTAAAAGGCAGTGAAGTGACACAATTAGCTTTGCTCCAAAGGACCCACCGCCCACATCAGTGGCGCAGCGAGAGGGGACAGGGGAGCAGTTACTGGTGCCAGGCTGGGATGGGAGCGCACAGCCTGACATGGCAATCCTGGTGCTGGTGGGCCACTTGTTCCCTGCAGACAAGCCACCAAGGCAGGGCCAGGCAGCATGAGCAGGCACTTCAAAGGTAGGGTTACTATACGTTCGGTGCCTGACTCTGGGGGAGGGCAGGGGAATTGGGGGAGGGCAGGGGAATTGGGGGAGGGCGTGGGGGCTAGGTGTACTTTTTTTTTTTTTTTTTAAATAGAAAGAGGAGTACTTTATAAAAGAAGGTTGAGACACACTGACCTCCTCCACTTCTGACTTCTGGTATGATCCTGAGCACGTCAACCTGTCTGTGCCCCAACTCCCTACTCTCAAAATAGGGAGAACAGTGTTTTTCTACCACACAGGGGTATAATAAGCATAAATGCTAAATACATTAAAGTGTGAAAGGCTCAGATACTAATGTAATGGGGGCAAAACAAGTACCTAAGATGGACAGACAGCTTACCTGAGAAAAGCTGTTGATCCTCCAGCTATCTGAGCCACATGCCCTTATGTGTCAGCACCACTCATTTTTCAGGCCAAGCTGTCATTTCACATTCTCTTCTGCATCTCAACAAACAGTCCTAACTCTCCCATTTAAAACAGACCTACTGGCAGCAAGGTTAGTTTCCATCCCTGACACCCTCTATAACACTATTTATATCAGCTCCCAGTTGTAAGCGCCAATGATTAATTTAGCCCTCTCACCCACCCCAATCCAAGTTTATCACAGTTTGATAATTGTAGTTCCTGTTTCAGCTTATTACTTAAGATGCCATCATTAAAGTATGATTTCTGCAATGTATAACAGAACACATTTTAAAAGTTTTAAGCATTAATAGATAGTAGAAAGTTTACTGCCAGAATATAGTTATTTCAATCATATCTTCTGATAAAGTCTAGGGATGTTAAATTTCGATTAATTAATTGAATAGTCGATGGGATTTCCATCGACTATTCAATTAGTCGATAAGAACGTCCTCATTCCACTTTGAAATGTGCAAGGGCCCCAGAGGGGCTCTTGCACATTTCAAAATTTAACTTGGTGTGGCACCCAGGGCCAGCAGGGAGTCCCACTGACTCAGGGCTCCACACAGGCGCTTCTGCTTTGAAATGCACAAGAGCCCCAGTGGGGGACTCCTCTACATTTCAAAGTTGACCATCTGTACCTCTGTCCCCTCCCATGCAGCTGGAGGAAATGCCTTTTAAGCCGGCTCCCTCCAGCAGCCTCTCGTCCCCTCCCTTGTTACCTCTTTGTGATAGAGGCAGCAAAGGGGGGAGCAACTAGTCGACTAGTTTGTCAACTATCCAATAAGCTTTTGCTCATCGGATAGTCAACTAGTCGATTAGTCGCTTGCATCCCTAGTTATGTAATGACCTAGGGAAGCCACCACAAACCAGCCTAGATTGTTAATATAAATCCCAAAAGCATTTTCTTGTGGCTATTTTAGTTTCTGCCCAAGACAGAACACTAAAGAATTAGATGTATTAGTTCTATGCATTGTTGTTTATTGTTATTTTAAGTATCATCACCATGCAACAAAAAACAGAACATACTCAGCTACCAGAATTGTTTTATGTGAATATTACTACAGCTGGAGTAAATACTGTGTCATTAACCTTCACAAAAAGCCTAGAACTGCACAGCAACTTAGCTTCCATACTCCTCTTGGAGCTGTTCTCCTTTAAACCAATATCCCAAAAAAATGGAGCTATGTTAAAACTGAAAAAAAGATGCATTATTAAACCCTTTCATGAAAACTTCCATCAGTCAGCTCTGTTCACTCTGCTCCTACCCATTTTACGTAATCAGTTGTTTTGGGGGGAAAACCAGCTTCTTGGTTATGTTGATAGTTGCATCCCTGGATTAGGGAAGAGAATGGTACATATATATTACCCTCATATTTTGGAGTTTGAAGGATATAACTCTTACTGTGCATGAATCAATACCAACAGGTTAATTAATGTTGGCAAGGCACTTTGTTTCTCTGTCAAAATGTCAGGTTCTAAACAAGTCTTGTGTTGTTCTTCTCAAATGCTCTTTCACACCAATGTTTATATAACTGTTGTAGTAGCAAATACAAAAAAGTTCATTTTCCTCTCTTTAATAAAGTATTCCAAAAGCTAGAACAGATTAGAGATATTTACAAGATTTATCAATTCCACCTAATCACTCCAGAGCTTCAGAGTGTCTGTTCTAGTAATGTACATAGATTGTGTTTTAAGTTTTTTAACACTATTCTGAAACCACCAGGGAGATGGCACTAAATAAGATGTCTCAAAATGCATATCTGTTGACTGGGCAATAAATGTTTAACATCTGTCAGTATAGTGAGTGTTTTGTATGCCTTTCTAGTCAATAACCTTACCTATAGTCTATTACAGTACCATGGTCTTAAATGGAGGAATATTTAAGAGTACATTTTTCTGTGGGAAATTAAAGTGATTTGGTTAATCCAAAAAAGGGAGAGGAAGGAAAATCCTGTTCATATAGGTTTTTGTTAAAAACTATAAATATAAACTCCAGTGTGGCTGGGTTACTAATCAGATTCATTTTTAATGGTCACCCGTGGGAAATCCTGACCTGTGTTTTCAAATAAACCCAAGCCTTTTAGCCTCAGAAGCGGCTACTTTGTTATGAACTATTAAGATACATTTAATTCATAACAGTATCTTAGATTAGAAGAACATCCTCAGGTTTAAAAAAAGCAAGTGTCCTTATGGTACTAAGCATAACTTTGAATTGTAAGAATCTAGCTTATGTTGTACTTATTAGCACTATCACTGTATTTGCCTCTTCATCTTTCAGAGCCTAAACAATGAAAACAGATCAATCTAACTTTACTTTCAGCTTTAACACAAAAGCAGAATGCTCTACAATATTTGTATTGCTAACAATGCAGGGAAATTTGTCTTTCAAAAAAATTCCATTGGAAAGTAAAATAGGAAACCATGCCTGTTCCGGTCAAATTTAACTGACAAAGTCCCTTTCAAGACAAGGTACCTCCCATCTTATGGAGTAAAAAACAGGAACAGGCATGTGTGTGACACACCAACAACTCTTTTGCTCACTTTTCTCAAATATTATTTTAAACTCAGTCCTCAGAACTCCCTGAATATTTATGGATGGAGAAAAATTCCACCAACAGAATTGCAAACACCAGAAGAGAGAGGTTTATACTTTTAATGAAAATTCTGACAATTTGAACTGCAGCTTTGAAGGAGATACTAACGCCTTTGTAGCGTGAGTTATTTTATAATTCACAATAAAGCTATATCAGATTCTGTTCAGAACTAGAACCACTTCTGTTAAACTGTCCCAGCATCCTTTGCTGCACAATTGGTAAGAATCTCATCTATGAGGGCAAAAGGGGGGAAAGGATTAAGAATTATTTGCAGAAACTTTAGGCATTTAAAGAAAGAACTTCGGCAATATAGCAAAAAGAGGTGATAAAATATTCCAGTATATATGAACAAATTCCACTATGAGATCTTTCCCCAAACCCTGCCTAAGTGGCAGAGAAACCTTGGCAGGGGAGGAACTCCTTCGGGAGAAAAATCTATAGAAACTGACTGCTACCCCTTAAAGTTTACAAACGATGGGCTATTATTACTCACACATGAGCTGCAGCTGTCAACTCTCCAAAGCCCTGTTGCGACCCACCGCAGAAGTAGAGACTAGACTAGAGTTAAAAAAAAAAAAAAAAGTTGCAGTTGAGTCACTGGCTGCTGTGCCCGGCAATCTGGATCCTCTTCAAATCCAGACACACTGCGGTTAGGGGGACCCAAATTTCTGCTAAGGAAACACACCACCAAGCAGCTTCTTGGGGGAGAAGAGGAAGAGAGAAATCTCTCCCTGAGCCAGACAGCAGAAAGCCCAACGCAGCGACCCGCACCGCCTGCAAATCCTCCCCTATCCTTAAGGAAACTTACTCCGCCGCCGCTCCGCAGAGAGGCCTCCGCTCAAGCAGTGGAGGCAGAGTCCGGAGCCCTGGAAATCACAGGCTGAACTGAATCGTAACACGAGAGAGAGGCTCTAAAACCCTTGTCTACTACCGCTGCCTCCTCCCGCCACGCGCTGGCCCTTTCCTCCCTCCCAGTCTCGCCAAACTTCAGGGCACGGGGCGAGGAGGAAGCCGCAAGGGTCCAGCCTGCAAAACGCCCCTGCCTCTGTCTCGCCCATTCATTCCCTCCATCCCGCCTTCCAGCGAGCCTGCCTCTCTCCTCTCCACAAGCACCGCATCCCTCTGTCCACTTTTCCTACGGCTCCCAGGAGCAGGCAGCCGGCTCCCCCCTTCCCCGCCGCCTTCTCCTTCCACTCCCCTGTCTCTCTGGGCTGAGCCATGCACACAATGCCCCTATTCATAGCCGCTCCCCCAGCCACCCCGCTCCCTCAATTCCCAGGAACAAAAGGAAGGGGAGGGAATTGAACTGAAAAAAAGAGGGAGAAAGCGCTGGATAAATAGACCCCAACTTGACGGGGACGCTCACCCCATGGAGGCTCCTTGCCCTGCTGCCGCCGGCGGCTCCGGAGCGGCGCACGCTCAGCACCAGACACAGTGGCCGGGGAGAGCAGAGCAGCAGCTGCCCTGGGAAAGTTTCTTGCTGCTGCCGCTGCTGGTCAGCGCGAGCCGCACACCCAGAGCGAACCCCGACTCCCGACGTTCCGACCGCTCGGGGAGGGGCAGGAGAAAGAGGAGGGAGGGGAATTACATCACTCTGAGCCCACGTGACCGCGGCGCTCCTGCTCCCGTTGAGGCGTGGAGCGGGGGAGGGGGAGGGAGAACAAATCGGCGCCGGGCTTAGGGTTCGAATCCAACATTCTGTGAGTCACGTGGCCCGGCGGCAGGGTGAGGGAAGCGCCCCTCCGAGCCGCTGCCGCGGCAGGTCGCTGCTCTGTAGCGCCCCCAGCGGTGGCTGCGGCTGCAGTGCACATCCCCACCCAACCTGCTGCGCAGGAGAGACCCGGACGATAGGCAGGGGGGTGGATGAAGCAAAGGGGCAGTAGGTAGATGGGAAGGAAGCAGCCCAATGGAGAGATGGGTGAGCAGAGCCCTGCACAACTTGTGTAGTCCAGGTGCTGAGCGTCATTGACCAACCTGTAACTCCTCTGTGCCATGGGCACCTCTAGCAACCTTGTCCAGCACCTGTGTGGGTGGGTTCAGCACGGGGAAAGGGTGACACCCAGAGAGGTGATGGGTGTGGTAGGGAAGGGCTAGCCCTGGAGGGACAGGCTGGGACGGGGAGGAGCCAAGCCTCTCCACCTTCCTGGTTCTGCTTGGCATATGGCTCCAGGTAAGACCAGCCAAAGGGTGAACAAAAAGGGCCCAAGCTGCTGGAGGTGGAAGATGAGCTACACTGGAGCCCTAGCCGCAGGATGGGGCACTTTGCTGATGAAAAACAACTATGTGGCTTTCCCTCACAGTATATCTCTAGCTGTGGTGGCTCGTCACAGAAAACCTCTCATTGGCAGGAGCCCTGTGATTAGGGATGTTAAACAGTTAACCGGCTCTTGCCAGTGAACTCTGGTGGTGGCCAGCTACACTGTGCTGGAACAGCTCTGACTGTGGAGAGGCTGGTGGGCCAGGCTTTGGGACCACGCGGTGGCAGTGGACCTTCCGGCTAGGGCAAGACCTGTGGCAGGACCCCATAGCCTCAGCTGCAGCAGGACCAGGTAGTGTCCTAAGTTAAGCGGTTAAGTGATAGGCTACGTCTAGACTGGCATGATTTTCCGTTAAAAGCATTTTCGGAAAAGAGCGTCTAGACTGGCACAGATGCTTTTCCGCAAAAGCACTTTTTGCGGAAAAGCGTCCATGGCCAATCTAGACGCGCTTTTCCGCAAAAAAACCCCAATCGCCATTTTTGTGATCGGGGTTTTTTTGCGGAAAACAAATCTCAGCTGTCTACATTGACCCTTTTGCACAAAAGTTTTGCGCAAAAGGGACTTTTGCCCAAACGGGAGCAGCATAGTATTTCTGCAAAAAGCACTGATTTCTTACAGTAGGAAGTCAGTGCTTTTGCGGAAATTCAAACGGCCAGTGTAGATCAAGGTGGGATCAAGGTGGCAGGCAATAGATATTTATATAAAACAAAGCCTCAAATATTTGGCCTATCCCTCTAAAATAAGGACAGCAGCTTCAAGCAGGCTGTTGGAGTATGGTGGGGGGAGAGTGCTCTGGGCTGGGGATACTAGTTCTGGGTGGGGCCAAGAATGAGGAGTTCAAGGGGTAAGAGGGAGCTCTGGGCTGGGGTGCAGGGGAGGTGAGGGCTGGGGATGAGGGCTCTGGGATGGGGTTGGGGATGAAGGGCCTGGGGAACCAGAGCTGGGGTAGGGGGTTGGAGCTAGGACTTACTTTGGGTGGCTCCCTGTGAGCAGTGCAGCAAGACTAAGACAGGCTCCCTGCCTGCCCTGAGTCCACACTGCTCCCTGGAAGTGGCCAGCAGGTCTGGCTGCTAAGTAGGGGCCAGAGCACTCTGCATGCCATTCTCACCCACAAGCGCTGGGCACTACCTCCTCCAGCTCCCACTGGCCAGTTCCCTCTCTTCCACCTAGAAGACAGACTTCCTGGCCACTTCCTGGAAGCTGCACAGAGCCAGGGCAGGTAGGGAGTCTGCCTTAGCCCTGCAGCACCACCAACCAGACTTTTAACAGCCCAGTTGGGAGTGTTGACCAGAGGTCCCAGGGTCTCTTTTCAATCAGGTGTTCTAGTCTGAAACTTTTAGCACACCTGCATGCTGCTGATCCAGTGCAGACGCTGGGAAGGAGGGAGAAAGAGTTGGTCGACAAGGCCAATGGCAGGTAGCAAGTGTTGGGAGGTGGAGGAGGGAAGAAGCTAGCTGCTTTTGGGTGCTCAGCATCTACTAATTATTTTCTATGGGTGCTCCAGCCCTGGGGCTCTTACAGAATCAGCACTTTAATGGAGGTCTCCAATACCTGCCTGGGAAAGCCTGAGTTCACAAATTTACAAATTCCCCTATTAAGATCACAGCCCCCACTCTTGCTGCCAGTAACGTTCCATCACAAATCCATCAGCCATTTTCTAATGTACCTCATTAACAACTCCCTACATTTGATTCCGTTTCACAAGCCCATGACCTCCTCCTAATAATTGCAGCTAGTCTCTCAGCCTAGAACTCTCCCCCCCCAAGACAAGAGGATGATGCTGGAGGAAGTGAGCAATTCCTCCCCCTCTCAAACACCCATGTGGTTGTTATACTAGCCACATGTATTGGCATTGTGAAAACCACACCAGTGTCATAAGGAAGTACACTTACAGAAATGACTGTGTGATTCCTACAATGACCAATGATATTTACTTTGGCTGTGAGAATAGAATCAAATAAATCCACCAACACCATGTTCCCTCTCTTTCCTTTTCCTTTTAAAAACACAAGGAAATGAAACATGGAAAGCTATTAATTTAATGCTGAGACTGAGAACTTAATTTACATGAAAATAGAAGTGTATGAAAGTTGCATGTTATATACAACATTAGCTCAGCTACAGGGCATGTTATATATATTTAGTATTTTGTATTCCTGTTTATGCTGTAAAATGCATACCTTCAAAGTAGTAGAGCAGTGGTGCGCAACCTTTTTTGATCTGCGACCCCTGCGCCGTGGGGGCTGCCAACAGCTGGGCCCAGCTCCTGGCTGACCAGATGTAGGCGCCATGCCATGGGGGCCGCCAACTACCAGGCCCAGCCACCGGCTGGTCAGATCTAAGCGCCACGCCGCACAGCTGCGCCCAGCCCCCGGCTAGCTGGATCTAAGCGCTGCGACCACTCTATCCTGGGAAGACATCCACAACCCCCGGGGGGGGGGGGGGGGGGGGGGGGGGTCGCAAATCACGGGTTGCGCACCATTGTACTAGAGAGCCATACATGCCATTGATTTCTTAGGCTGAGCTCATTGCACACACCAATGTTCCCT